AAAGAAATAACTTGATGCTGGGACTCGCATTAAATGGCCTAGGATCCGCGTACTCCCTCCCTCTTTGATAGCATCATTTATTTCTCTCGCTTCTCTAATATTTTCTGCATTTTCAAATAGATGTGTGATGTGCATGCAAATTTCAATATGTTAAATTTGAAGATCGTAATCAGACATCATATGATCTGACACATTTCAATAATATTTTTTTTTCAAAAATCGTGTTTCTATTGATTATTGACGTGCCCATACAGTATATACTAGCCTCTCATCTCAAGAGCATTATGACAAAGATAAACAAAGTTAGTAACATGTTCCTATTTTATTTTCTATTACTACATCAAACGGTCCTACGCCCATATGCCCACCATATTCCTGTGAATCACATATAGCCGATGCTTGGAAAGACACTCATTAGAAACCTACCTGGACGTCTCAGCACTTGCTGTTCTCCTCCAGTGTATACCATGCTAGTGGGTTCTTTACCAGAAAGCCGGACTTGATGATATCCTACGCCCATATGCCCTCTATATTCTCGAGGATCACATATGGCCGATGTTTGGAAAGACACTCCTTAGCGACCTACCTGGACGCTTCAGCACTGCTGTATTCCTCCAGTGTATACTACGTTAGCGGGTTCTTGACCAGAATATCATCTTGTCGATGTTCTATTATTAGACTAACTCTTTTTAAATATACATGCTCGCACACTAATCTTTTTCTTTTCCTTATACTTGAAGGTCATCTCCTCCTTCTTCAAGACGAGACCATATAAAGAATGGTCGATAGTTGCTTGTCTCCAATACATATTGGAAAGTGCTGTTATAAATTTTGAAGATAGAGAATCAATTCTTGACAATATGAAAAGAAAGTTTAAATCAATCAGCGATCAACAAAATATATTGAGTCATGCACGAAACAAAGCTTCCTCCATCTGTTCTACCTTTGAAAAGACTGCTAAAAGGCAAGAAGTTAAGGATTTGCTTGAGAGAATAGAAAAAAAGGCAAGTCAATGATGTGAATGAAATTACATGTTAACAAGAGCACATAGAATTGAAAGTATGTGATTCTTTCAGGCTGAGTTTGAATCAAGAAAATTATTATATAAAGAATCAATGAAGATAGAAAATTTAAACGATAAATGGAAAGTTTCCCCAGAAACGAGATTGACAACATCTGATGGCGAAAGAGCAACGAAACGCATCAAACTGATAAGGTGATGATTGTTATTGGGTTTATTGTAACCGGGCTAAAAATTCTGACTTCCTTTTGCAATACAAACGGGATAGTAATGATGACGATAGCTCATCCAGTGATGAATCCGAAATAGCAACAAATTCGGGGAATTTAGATGTGGTACGGTAATTTTTTAATTACTGAAAATGTAGTGAATTTATTTGACATAATACTATTACCATTTAGGAACACGGCAAAGAAAGCGAAGCAAAAACACCGCCTCATCAACCACGAAATTATGATATTCCTGTTCATACTCCTGTTCATACTCCGAACAAGCGACAAATGTATAATGAGAAGGTTATTTGGTGAGTTCCATATTCATAGTAAGCATCTAATCTGGAGCAAGTAAATTTTGTTTACTTTATTATTATATGTTAGCGATCTTGATGCAATGGGACAGACTTTGAAGTATAACTGAGTTCATGTTCAGACACCGCCTATGTGGACCAAAATTGAGAGCTATCTTGAAAATGCTTTGAAGGTAAGCTCTCATGGATATTAATTAGTGGCAGATTAGAACATATTTGACGTCTTTCTGCTCATTTTATAGAAGTCGAGAGAAGCTTTCAAGGAGGCTATTATGCTAAAGATTGAGGGGGATAACGAGAACAAGCTCCGCCTATATTGTGAAAAGATATTGATGGATTTGTGAGTATTGTCACTTATTGTTACCTACAATGAATAAATGCTTATTCTTACTTTTTGCTCTAGTTACAACCTGGTAGATGTTTTCCCAACCCTATCAAGAAAAATTGGAGAGAGAAAGTATATCGTACAAAATCTGTCTTCGCTTTTTAAATTTTATGAAACAACTTATTCTTATACACTGTGGTGACCATAGCTGTAGAATTGTGAAGACTGCATCGATTGCATGGAAGTATATCTGCTCTAAAGTTAGAATCATGTGTAGCTATGTAATGTTGTATATAAATCGTATCATTATCAATAGCTTTGACTTT